GAAAAATTGAAAGAATACGTGAATAATGAAAAAAAAATCAAGTATTTTGTTCCTCAAATCATTAACTTGTTCATCACGAGAATATAGTAAAAAAACATATGATAGACTTATCAATATGTAATCCAATATTTGAATGAAGTTTTTGAGTTATTGCCAAAAACTAAATTGAATTTTTGATGTAATGTGAAATCATCATTATTTCGAAAATACGCGTCAGCCAGATGTGTAGCTATTGAAACTGCGACAAAACTGAATATTTCATTTATTTTTCGATCTGTTATGAAATGTAAGCCAGTTGGGCATTGGATATCCTTCCAGGACCTATTCGGCAATATCTGAAATCAGTGTTATCCGAAACTTGTAGTTTCATTTTACCTTTGTTATTAGTGGAAATTTTTTCAATCAGTCTTGTGATATAAATCGCAATGCGGCTTTATTTTCAATATATGATTGACCACTTATGTCCTCAGTAACATAAGATGTTCATCTTCAAGGACTTGTTGGAGTTTTTCCATATTTCATTTTACATTTTGCAATGAAGTAGGTACTGATTGGTCCAGTGTAAAATTCACCTTGTTACATAGCTGATGTATATGAATTCCTTATTTGTACAGGTAGTTTAATTTGTGTGTTAATAACAATTGCTTTTGACCTACATCTAGTGTTTCAATTTACTACTGAAATCCTTCCTAGGAATCTTTATTTAGTAATTTATCATCTGCCATATCCTATCAATTCAATAAAAAAAAACATGAAAACTATCCCAAAAAGTTGTAAATGAATACATTGCCAGAAATTATTGAACGGATCTAATGGAATGTGTGAACAGTGTGGCTCGCTTCATTTCGAACTATCCCTGTATTTGCTATAAAAAGAATCCATCGCTTTCTGAAATATTATCAGAATCAGAAATAATCTCAACTTGAAAAATATTGTATAGGCAATTTTCATAAAAATAATCATTCAAATGATTGTTTTCTTATCATGAAAAGTTTCGATAATTCCTATTCCCACTTGATGAAAAGTCAACACGACTGTATATGAAATACATCAGGCATTGGAAATGAAAGGTTTTGACTTTTTTCTTCATCTTCATACAAAAAAATTTAGGAAGTTTTCAAAGAAAGGAAAAAGATGTGTAGATCATGCAAAGAAATAACTCCCTGACACAAAAAAGTTTATATACTTATAATTAATTATTTTTTATATCGATCCAGTGATGAATATTTGCTCTGGGAGTTTGTTTTAACCATTTTTTAATTCTAGATTTGAAGAGAGTAACGATGGGCGGGTATAACATTATGTAACCTACGAGAAAGATAGGTACAGCTGCGTTGTCCAATAGTTTTTGACATTTTTGGTACTTCAATCGAATGTATTCTATAACGTGTATGATGTAAGTGATCAACAGTTTTAGCATCTTTGAGATTTTTTCGTTGATATACCAGCAAAAATTTGTCGTATGTCCATCAGTTCGGCTTCAGTGTATAGATCGTCGCTTGGCTAAGTATAGGGTCTATTCAAAATGATCTTAATAATCAACTTGTGGAGTGTCTCCAAGTTCTTAAGGTAATAATTAGTGACCCCTCCCCATGCGATAATACCATACAACAGATGTGTTTTTACTAATGCATGATAGAAAATTTTAATATGTTTCTGGTCAGGGATGTTTTTCAGGTATTTGAATTTATATAACATATATCTCAGTTTTTTTATCAGATTATTTATATGTGTGTTCCACTTCAAGTTACTGTCAAGCGTATCACCTAAATATTCAACTGTGTTGGTTGATTTTAGTTGTACTATATCATCTGATATTCGAACATCCATAGATGAATAGTTGGGTATATTTGATTCGTAGCTTGTGAAAAGTGTGTACATGGTTTTCTTTAGATTTACAATGAGTAGTTTACTACACTGAAATATTCCATGATTACGGGGGATGAAGATGTCACTTGTTCTCTCAAGATATCCTAATTCTTTTCTTTGAAGAAAAATACAGTATCATCAGCAAAACAGGGTATCTCAGCAGGAATAGGTAGGTCGAATAGAGAATTGATATAAATAATGAACAAAATTGGACTGAGCACTGTTCCCTGGGGGACTCCATTCCTTATAGTTATGTTAGTACTCATTTCATCATCAATACTTACGCATCGTTTTCGGTCTTCAAGATAGCTTTTCATCAATCGAGGTGTAATCCTCCTGAATCCGATGTTTTCGAGGGTTTCTAGTAAATCTGGATGGCTGACGGTATCAAATGCTTTTGCAAGATCAACGAAAAGACAAATGGAGGGTTCCTTCGAATCTAAAGTGTTGTACAGTTATTTAATTGAATCCGCTATAGCGTCCTGAGTTGATCTCCCATTCATACACCCATATTGTTTCTCGGAAATCAAGCTGTTTCGTTTGGTATAGTCTACTATTCATGCTTTTATGATTTTCTCGAAGATTTTAGAGATATTTGAGAGAATAGATGTAGGCCTGTAGTTTGATACATCATGCCTGTCTCCAGATTTATAAATTGGTTTGATCACAGCAATTTTTAGGGATTCAGGAAATATTACTTTCGAGAGATTTGTTTATTACATATGTAAGAGGTTTAGCAAGACTATAAACACATTCTTTGAGTGTGCTCGATACAATCTCATCCATCCCTGGTGCCTTGTTTGATTTCAATTCCTTGATGAATTTAATCACTTCGTACTCCTCCGCTGGATACAAATAAAGCGAAATCAAACCCCTTCTATGTGACATTTATCTTTTTGAAAAAAACCGATACTTGGGTTTTCGTGGCATTGAATTGAACTTGGTTACTTCCACCTCAATTCGGAATAATCTCTAGATCCTCACTAAGATATGCAACGTCCTGCAGCCGATGAAGATGTGCATCTGCAATCGATGTCCTGGAATCCAAACGGAATGACTAGACGTGTGATGTCATCAGCAAGGCAATATATTGGATTTCTGTTTTTTTCCAATGAGCCGTTGATGTACAATAAAATGAGGGTTGAAGACAATAAGGATCCTTGGGGAACACCAGCGTTGATGGTAAGAGTATTCGAGAGATATCCATCGACCGCCACTTGCAGGGAACGTTCTTTCAGGGAGCTGGAGAACCATTCACAAAAATGATTCGACAAGTCAAAGCATCGAAGTTTTGTCAGCAAACCCTTACGTCACACACGGTCAAATGTTTTGGAAATAACAAGCGCAACAGCTCTTGACTCTTCATGTTTCTCGATTGCGTTATTTCAAATATGGGTGACATACGATAGGAAGTCGCCGGTTGATCTTTGTTTCCGAAAGCCAAATTGATGATCGCTTGAGTTGAAGCCTTCCAAATATTCGAGGATATGGTGATTTAAGACTTTCTCTATGATTTTTGATATCACTGATAGCAAATCGACTGGTCTATAGTTGTTTGAAAGATGTTTCTTGCCTTTTTGGGAATAGGCTGAATGCTAGCAATCTTCCAACGAGAAGAAAAGATAAAAACCATTTGTTGAAAAACAGGTTGAAAAGTCTGCAAAATGCTCGTGCGAGTTCACTAGATCACTTTTTGAGTAGGTGACAGGCACTTCATCAGTACCAGGCGCCTTGTTGATATCAGGCTGTTTCAAGACGTCCTGGCAAGACGTTGTCGAAAACTAATTTCGGGCATTGTGGATTTAGTGTGAGAATAGTGGGTAGTGCCTTTCCCAGAAAATCTACTGTGAAGTGGAGTCCATAAAGAATGCTTTGAGTACGGAGCCACTGGAAAGATGTGGTGTATCTTGAATTCCATCTCAATTATTGATGATGTGAAGAATATATCATTTCAACTTCAATCCTATAAGTTTTCAGTTGTCTCGACCTTTTTTGCGTGATGCAACGTATTTATTAAAATATTCAGAGTTTTTTTCAGCAATGCAAAAAGAAAGATCTATTTTCGATTATTTTAGATTCTATTTAGAATTTTAACAATCAATAATTTATTCATTAATTTAATGTCTTCTATTAATGAATAGCAGTACCACCGGACGGCGGTGTACAGTGATAGTTGTCTCCTTAATAAACATAGTTGATTCATTAGATTGCAGTATAAAATAAAATATTTTTGCTGAGTAATATTAAGTGGCAGTGACATTATGATAGCTACAATAAATATTTATTAAAATAGTCGGTGTAAAGTGCATTTTGGAACGGATTTATTTTATAGACAGTAAACTGTGAGTACCCAAAAGCCAATTTTGCTTGAAAGTGATACGATTGATAAGAAAACCGCAATCTAAATATTTGCCCATTTTTGCTGGGACCAAAGAACTTATCAGTTGATTCGTGTTTTTTGGTGAATCCAAATTGTTTGTGATGAGCACCACTAATGANTTATTAATATTGTTAATTTATTTGGTACCTACTATAATTACCACGATTATTACTCCGTTTTCATAAGGCCCACCTAATGACTACAACGATTAGGTAAATTACGATATTGCAAAGTTTTAATGAAATAAATAAAAAATGTGTATGAATATTTTAACTAATTGTACTAAGAATTTTTCTTTCATTCTTAACCCTCTAAAAAATTAATAAACACGCCCCCGATTTGCTGTCAACTGGGCTTACTTCTACTCTCAATCATTATTGGTTTTAGTATAGTTCCGCAATTGTCGAAGTTATCAGGCCGTGGGTGCCACTGGGTCCTAAAATTCTTTTCTTGGTTATTTCTTTTGTGGCGATTAAGATACCAGCCATTAGATACCATTAGATCATATTTATCAGAGTAAATCTTACATATCTCATCATTTTTAAAAATTTCTTACGGAAATGACCGCCAATAATTTAGAATACACGTGTATTCGAAATGCGCCATTACCTCCCTGATGTCAAACGCATACCTAATGATTAGTTTAAAATGGAGAGAGTAGAAAAATACTATATTGGTTGACTTCAGTTATATGAGTACTGAAATGAAATCTGCGACAAGTTGTTGAACATCATGTTACTATAGCAATACCGATCAAACATCATAAACAAATCGTTATTTTATTTCTTTTGGTTATGTGCTTTCACTATGTAACTGTAAACTCATACCCCATACGTTTTGACTGACTGAACATGATTTGACATTATCGGAAAATATTGTGTTTAAAATGGGCATTATCTCAGTTGAAAATTTGAACTCAGTTGCCACCAATCTGAAAAAAGACGTTACCAAGACGAATAAAAAAAGCTCACATTTGTACCATCAAGAGAAGCATTTGAAAACCATTGTGAGAATGATGGGAATTATTGTAAGTAACGGTTAAAAGTTTTTTCAAAATCATTTTTTCAGCCCAAATCAACCTTGTCGAAAGAAACCCTGGTAATCTACTTGTACGGAAACAACTTAACTAGTATAGAGAACTTGAATGGATATCCAAATTTAACAAGCCTTTATCTGCAGAACAACAATATCACTGAGATAAGAAACTTACAATATCTCAAGAAACTGAAAAAACTCTACATAGGTCATAATAATATCAGTGTTCTAGAAGGGTTGAATAATCTCGTGTCTTTGGAGGAATTACATATTGAGAAACAGGCTCTACCAAATGGAAGTTGTTTATGTTTTGATCCCCGGACAATTTTTGCTATTTCAGTAAGTAGTTATTTGAAATGAATGGAGCTCAGAAAAATAATTGAAATGTTATGACACGATAAAATCTTCTTCACAAAATGATTTGAATTAACTTCTGTTGAAACCTTAGAAATGTTTTATCCTTTTATGGCCATTTGGCACCCCTTATCACCTGATCATTTTCATAACTCTCAATGACCCCAATACCAGGGACGTAAAGAAATTAATTATACGAATAAGAAAAATAGGCACAAAATACGATGTTGAAAATATACCTTATATCGTGTGTAATATATTTAGTATGTTGAAAGTTATATCTACAATCGTAATTATTTTATTCGATTCCATGTAATAGCGGCTGCATAACAATTTTATGTTGCTTTTTTTTGCTATTTGATAAGAAACTGAAAATTTTGCTAAATTTGATCTTTTAATGTTTCTCAATTGAACTCCAACAATACATTTATAATGAATTGATATACTTAAATATGATACAAAATATACGGATCGTTTCTTTTATCATGTGGTAACATTGCTATATTCTAAACCGTAACATATACGAAGGCGACCAAATGGTAAAAAAAGGAACTGCAACCGTAACAGATACAATGGTCGAAGAAAATTTACGGGGACTCTCGCCCTTCTCGAGTTATACGGAAAAAACCTAAAATGCTGTTTTTCGTTTTTTCCGAACGAAATTGTTATTTCGGAGAAAATAAAAAATTGGAAAAGGAAAATGTTATTGTACTATGTACTATGACGATGTATTAATAAATATTCGATAAAACGTTTCGTGTCAACATGGCTACCATCAACTTTTTTTTAAATATGGACCTGTCTTTTTTATTACAGATATTGATAAAGCGATAAATTCACAATCCAAGGGTATATCACATTTGATATTTTTATAGTGTTTCATTCGAAATAACTACCATCATCAGTGACAAAAAATTTAAATCACAGTCCTGTCGTTACTTCTTCTGTAAACTGTTTCAATTTCTTCAAAATATAATTCAGACAACCCAATAAATTCGACAGGTAGGTACCATATCACAATGAAAATTAGTACTTTTTCGTTACCACATGAAAATTTACACAGTGAAAACATCTTTTTTTTTTAATTTAGGATTGGTCAGTTGCAAAAATTATGCTAATCAAGATTATTCTTTACGATAAATTGACCACAAAATGGGAATTCTTGTAAAATCCACCAGAACTATTTTGGAAAAGAACAAATATAAATGCTACAGGATAAGCAAAGTTCATCATCTCAATGAAAGGGGTTACAGAAGGAGAGTACGATTTGCGAAGTCGTAGAAATAGGGAGGTTGGAAAAATTTGTAAAAACATGATATGGACGGATCAAATTCGCCAACAATGTTTGGTTTAACAGAAATATGCACTATAGGTGGAATGATAACAAATGATCATTTACATAGGGAAACCAATTTCCACGAAAGGTTCAGAGTAAATGTTTGGTTGGGAATTGTGAGAACAAACATCCTTGGCCCTTTCTTTTACGATGATCATTTGAATAGTGAAATGTATCTTCATATTCTATTCAATGAAATCGATGGCTACTTAGATGAATTGCCACTGAATATCCGCCATGAAATTTAATATTTTCAACAGGACGGCGTTCCTCCCCATAATGCAGCAATAGTAAGGAAACATTTAGATGCAATATTCCCAAAAAAATTGATTGGAAACAATGGAACAATCAACTGGTCAGCTCGATCCTCAGATCTAACTCCTTTAGATTATTTTTTCTGGGGATACATAAAGGATTGTTTTTATGTTTGATTGTTGTCACTGATGACGGTGGTTATTTCAAATGAAACGCTATGAAACTATCAAATGTGATATACCCTTGGATTGTTAATTTATTGCTTCATCAATATCTGTAATAAAAAAGACAGATTTTCTTGAAATAATCATTTAAGTAGGTACTCGATTTATATAGGTCTCCACTCTTGAGTTTATGACTTTAACAATCCCTATAATCTTCAATGCGTAATTTTATAGTTTGCACCCCGGTTCGTTCAGTTACCTCTCCTTTCATCTTACACGAAAACTCCCAATATAACCGAGTTTTCAAACTTCACATTTTAGTTTTATACATGATGATGGGATTAAACCCGAAACCGGTCGTATAAATAAGGTGAAAAGGTGTAACTAGAAACACAATCAAATTATTGAAGTCATATATCACAGATCGTAAACAGATAGTTACAATGAAATATATAAAAAGCAGCGAGAGGACAATCGAATGTGAGGTCCCACAAGGAACGGTTTTGATACCGATACTATTCTGTTTATACGTAAACGGATTATTCTCAGCAGGGTCCTGTGGGAAAATTACTAATTTCGCAGATGACCCAGCTATTGTCTACTCCGTAGAAACATGGTTCGATGTCAAAAGACAGGCAGAAAATGACCCTGAACTGTTAAAAGATTGGTTTGATTATAGACAGCTGTCGCTGAATTTTAAAAAAACATACTTCTTACCATTCTGCAACAACAGACCCTCTTTACCACCGTATCGAACCTTAATAATCCAAAATACATTTCAAATATGCTCAGCTACAAATATAAAGTAATTGGGAGTTATTATAGACCCTCACTTGAGATGAAATTTTCATATAAACTATCTAGTAAAAAAATTAAGAAGTATCCTATTTGAGGCCAGGCAACTCAAAGACATCCTGGATCAGAAGGAGGAAAAAACATTCAATTTAGCCTTGTTCGAAGCCACTTTATATATTGCATTATTGGATGGCGAGGAGTGTCCGAAAACCATTTGTACCCACTGAAAGTTATCCAGAGAAAATTCATAAAACTGATGCTGAATGAACCACCAAGATATAACAGTGACGAATTATACAAAGAATTAGCAATATTCGATGTAAGGCAACTGTTTTTCAAAACCCTTGCATTGCCCCAATATAAAGAAAAGGCAAAACTCACCAGACCCAACCATACATATACTACAAGATACAAAAACAAATACATAGTACCATTCGCATTTGAAACGATAAGACAGAGATCTCATCAATTTTTGGGCCTGAAGGTGTTTAATTCATTAACAAAAGATATACAGAATTGGGAATCCACCAAGGACATGAAAAAGGCACTCGAAAAATTTATTACTAGGCTTCATCGTAGAAACATTGGAAAAATATTCGACCAAAATAATTGAGTACGGATTACATGTCATCATACACTCCAAATCCTTTTTATATCCTGATTTTAATATGTACATATTTATTTTCCACATGATCTATTCTGAATAATACTGGAGTTTTTTCCCAACACCAAATCGTTATTTTTACACCTCGACACGTGTTTCGATTACCAAGTGATCATCTTCAAGAGGAAGATAGTTTTATCGTTCTGGTCTGGTGGTCGAGGAGCACTACATCAGACTCATTAGCTTGTTTGAGCCTGAGGGTGGGGAATGAATAGTTCCAATAAATTCGGCACTTCTCGTTCCCCACAACGGATTCAATATCCCTCGGAGCGTAGGGCAACACCGGTGTCTTGTCAATACCGTAAGAGTGCCGTAGATGGTAATATAGCACTCTTAGGGCCGCGTTATGTCGATGGATATAGGCCGAGACCGCATATGCTCGACATGCTGATAGCAAGTGCATTAGGGTCTTGGGCGCCTCGCGGCAGATCCTGAAACTCTCTATAACTTCTATAACCATCACGCGACTGCGATAGACTAAGGTGTTGAAGACACCATCCTAGCAAGCCATGATGAACCCCTCAGTTTCCGACTTCAGCCCATGTATCTCTTGTTTCGTTCTTGAACAGAAAAAACCGAATATATGTAGATTCCTGTCGGGTTCGAATATTGCGTAGAGGAGTGGTTCCATCACACTTTCCTGTGGGACACCACCAAATCTTTGTCTTCAATCGAATAACTCATCATCCTGACCCGTTGAGTTTATCTGCTCCAAAATTCCCAGTCAGAAGAATAGCATCGGAGTGAATGCCATAATAATAAAGTTTGGCTAGAAAATCTAATGAGGTGAGGTAGGTAACTACTCCCTTGTCCAAGTTTCGAGTGAAATCAATAATGATTTTCATCAGTACTATATTGGTTAACCAGAGGCTAGTATTATTTGCCTTTGAGGGACTCACAAACTTTCGGATTCGTAAGAATGTCCCATCAGGGGATCAATATGTGCTCAGTACATATTCGTAATGAATGTTTTATACCGAAACATCAATTATTTCTTTAGATCTCGACATTTCTCTTGAATGTTAAACTTTTTTCTAAATATCGGCATTTTCAGACATATCGACATTTTTCCCAAAATCTATATCTCAGACTTCAAGAAAGATATCAATTTCTCCATAAAATGTTGAGCTTTGTCGGAAGAAACTTTTTCATAGTGATTTTTTAGCCAACTCTTCAAATCCTGAATGTATCAGGAAATAATATTCCTTCTTTGTCATCCCTGGCTCCTTTGAGGAATTTGAGAGTGATTGATGCATCCGACAATGATCTTGATGACATAAAAGACATTTGCCAGAGTATTCGCAATTGGTACTACCTAACAGAAGCTAATTTCACCGGAAATTCTGTGGGAAAGAAGCACCGTTACAGAGAAACTATTATTGGAAACACCAACCTTCTAAGTAAGGTTTATGATATGGGTCAATCGAACGGTCGTTTCATTTGTATTTTTTTGTAGGAGTACTGGATGGAAAAAATGTGTCTGATGTGACTCGGTCTTTTGTAAAAAAATTTGAAGAGGAGAAACTACTGAGGACTAAACAGGGTGTCATTTTGTCAGATGTGGTGAAAGGTAATGTTGGCTTTCTTCTTTCATTCTTGATTAAAAAACTCCAACTACTAATAACAACTTTATAAGCAAACGTGAAGTGAAATTATTGTTAGTCACAAAAATAAATCTACCAGTAGCGTAACGTAGAAAAGATACATACAAGGTGTTTTTTACTAGTATTTTTTATTTTCGAAATATTACCAACCTATTCAAAGAAAAAAGAGCAGTAGGATCATCTCTAATGGAAGAATTTGAGTAGAAAGATTTGTAAACTGAACATTTTAAACGATAAGTGATTGACAATGATCTATTTGCACAAAATAGTTCCAATTGACCCCCATATTCAGGTAATACTTCATTTGGATTTTCACTAGAAATTTCACAAAATCACAACACTGTACGGAAGATTTTTCAGACATATTCATACCAACTGAATTCCAACTGAATTTGCTACAGTTATTTGAAGTAATG